CGCGGCCCCGCCGCTTTTCCCCCATTTCCCGACAGTGGACGCAGGGGTTGACCATTAGCATGGAATTTAGATCGACACTCATTGGCCCAGTGAGGGCCCTTCTGACAGCGCGGGTATAAGCTAGCTGGAGCTGGCTTGCCTCCACCTCCCGGCCCTTTGGGGCAGTTTTTCTTGAGGTGGCCATTCTCTCCCCATTGAAAACCCTTCTCTGCCCCTCCCTTTTGAGGCCAGATTTGGTTTTGTGCAGTCAAATGCGCCACAATGGCAATAGCCAACACGTTGGCACTATGTTCTGCGGTGCCAATATTCTGGCAAGCTCTGATCACATGAGTGATCTGCAATGCCTTTTACAACCAGAATTTACATCGTCAAAGGCAAGCTGTTTGAGCAGCATCTCTTGGGCCTCCGGCTGCTCAACTTGCTGCTCCAAGGCTCTCTGCAAGTAATCTAAGAATGCAGAGTAACCTTCCGTCGGGCCTTGGGTGGTTGTTGTGAATGATTGGGCAGTCTCAGGTCCAGCGTCTGGTATTTGTCGCAAAGCGCATAAAGCTAACTCTTTAATCTGGACATATTCTGGCCTTGGGTACCCAACTTGCATCTGTGGGATGGCATGAGGACCTTCCCCAGCTAGCATTTTGTATGAGGCTTGCACGCCCTGCGCAGCATTGTCCATAGCCTGTAAGGTGGACATTTCTTTAAATTCATCTAACCATACTCAATAACTCATGTGAGTCAAGATCATTCGCAACACTGATTTCCAATCTTGTGGCATTAAAAATGTGACTTTCTGCTACTGATTCCAAGAGAGTCATAGTTATGTTTGATAATATCCTGCTTTCCTTTACCACCTTCCACAATTCTTTTATAGCTGCATAGGGCAGTCGTTCCCACTGCAGTAGCACAGCAGGTCAGTTCACAACTGGCACAGTCATTAACATATCTAAGTGCGTCCACTGAACTGCCTCTCTCCTAAACATTCCCCAGCAATCCGACCCTTGATCCCCTTTGTAACTTCGTTATATGGGCCTGGGGGGGTACAAATTGGGTTCCTTCTCTGGGTCCACAGGGCCTGGGTCCAACGGATGGTCGCCCCACCACACGGTGGTGCTGACGGTGCTGCTGCATGTGGCTGATTGCTTTTGTCCCCCTGAAGATACCAGGCCGTTTTTAGGGTCAGCATGATCCACCACCAGGTGGTCACATGTTTTACCGCAGCTGTATCACCATCCACCACTGCCTCCTTAAGGCGCTTTCCGACAGGCTGTATCACCATCCACCACTGCCTCCTAAAGGCGCTTTCCGAGCGCTTGGAAAGTGCCTTCCTTCAGGAGAGCAGGTACCTTCTCCCAAATCCATTCTAGTAGCCACCTCTCGCTGGAATGTGCCTTCCTTCGGGAGAGCCGATACCGTCTCCCAAATCCATTCTAGTAGTACGACTAAGTGCTTCCCAGAAACCTCCTGGTTCTGTTCGTGCACTATGAGCTGCAAATCATCCAGGCTGCCTTTCTGCTCTTGAGACTTTCCACCTGCCATAGTTCCCAAGCCACTCACCTCTATTCAGGCGCTGGGTGCACAACAGAGTCCTTCCTCCTCCATTCCTGGTTCGGCTGGGCTGCGCTGCCAGGTTCATTGGCTTTGTGAACCTCCTCAGTGCTTGTGCCCCACGTTGGGCACCATTTGCAGCGTATGAAGGAATTATAGACTTTGGTGTGGTGAAACCAAAGACCTTTATTTAGCGTTAAACATGACTTATATAGCTGCGACCCTGCGGACAGTTCCTGTTCTGCCCAGCAGCATGCAAAGCCCAGCAACCCAACCAACCCATCAACTCAATGATCACGTGCTGACCACCGTGAGGCCACCCCATGAGCAGCTGCTTGGTCATGCGCTGGCCATGTGGCCGCAGCTCCCCTCGCTCCTGCTCAGCCCCCATCCAGTGAGGAGACACTCTGCTACTGACCTTAGGCTGACCCCCACACCTGTGTGGATGCAGTAAGACTTGGAAAGCAGTTTTTTTTTCCCTGGAGTATTTGAGGAGGCGAGCAGATTAGGAAGAGTTTCGTAGGTGGTTAGGGCCAGAATCACAGGCCAGTACTTTCCCTGTGCCATGATCAAGAATTAACAGTTACAGGTTGAGCCCTGTGGGCACATTCTCAAACCCAAAAACGTTTATTGCAGTAATGCTCACCTGCTCACATACAAACTTACTTTCAAATGGTATTAAATTTGTTCTTAATATGTTTTAAAAGGCCTGTCTTCCTAGGGCAGCATGAACTCCAAGCTCGATCTGTTCAGCCACCTGAATCAGATGATCCACGTCGCTTCTCAGGACAGTCAGAATCATTTGTCAATGTCTTTGACAGCATTTGGTGTCACACAGAAACCAACAGTTGTCCTTGATGAGGCCATAAAGAGATGAACTGAGGGAAATGCATATGGGAAATGGCCAAATTCCATCTGACTTTACATAGGTCAATCAAATAAAAGAGGAGCACCTGTGGTTTATAAGGGTTATGGACTGGGTGCTATTATTCATAAGAGAAAAACAGACTGTATAGAGCATTAGGGAATATATTATGTCATTAAGAAGGTAGTAGCACCTATCTCTTAATGACCAACTCCTGAATTCCAATTGTTGTTACCGCGAGGGGTGTTTATGGGCTGTCATTTCAATACTGGTGAAGCTGAGCTGCCTCAATTCAATTCTGCAGGAAAATATGCTTCACTTTGCAAGCAAAAACAGAGCTTGAAAGAGATTTGATTTCTGCACATCAGCCATTTATAGAGAAATGTTCCTTTCAGATATAACTAGGGAGTGAGCAGCTCAAGTGGAAGAAGTGGATGGTGCTCATTTGAGCAGTGCACTGACTTCCAGTGATGACCAAAGATACTCCGTTAGTCTTCGCACCTCGGAGAGAGAAGTGCAGTTTTAAGAACATCACATGTGATCAGGAGATCCAGGTGCCATCTCTACCTCCAAAACACAGTACCTATCTCAACAAAAGGAGAGCTGCTACTATGTAATGCCACAGGTCTTTTCCAAGAGGCAAAGAGATGGCACGTTTTTATCACAAGCTCCATCAAAACACATTCACCATAACCAGGCAGCAGTGCAAATCAGGGCGAGCACCACACTCACCTCATGTTCTCTGCACTAGCAGCCTACAAAACAGGCAGGTTAGGGCTTCAGGTTTGCACATCAGAGCTGGTTATAGGACTCACACCTGTGATAATAGGGGCTGTAATTGCACTTTCTATCACCAACGTGCCTAGCTGAGCCCTACTGAAGCTGAGCGGGTGCTGCCTTGCTGAAATGCTGCTTCAGCGCACGTGCCCAGCAGTCAAGCATTTGTCATGAAAGATAGCAGAAATCATGAGCTTTGCTGTCTCTCTTAAGCTGTTTGCCTGACATTTAAAAACAGCATCTTCCTAAAGGGAGTTTCATTACAAAGAAAAGCATTTCTAGCATACAAGCAGTCCTGTTCACAGCAACATGGCAGCTCTGAGAAATGCAGGCCAGAAAGCTCTTTGGTGCGTTTCTGTTCAGAACTTAGTATTTACGTGACTGTACAAGAGACCAAACAAACCAACAAAATCACTTTTCATGAACGCAACTGAATGCTGCCCAGGGAGTGTGTAATCCTACAACGCGCTGCTCTTCCGCTGCCACAGTAAGTCGCTACAGACACAGGGCTTTATCCAACTGAATGCCATGTGATCAGTGAGCAAAAAAATACACAACCAAAGACTGCAGAAAATATGACAATGTTAAGGGCTCTGCCCTTTTGAGAGGGGGAGTGAGCAAAAACAGTGCCAGGCAGCTCCAGTGACAGAGTTCGGGGTAGGTGTCCCTGCATCACACACAAGCCTCTCCCCAGCTCAACCCCAGGGTTGCTTTTTCACAGCTAGGCATGAGTTTGTAGTCTTCATGTTTGTATTTCTAGCACTATCCTTTACTGATCTGCCTTTATTTCCTACATATGTAAGAAAATAGCTATATAAAGTGTTCCTATAAAGAAACGGCTCTAAAGATTTTTTTGAAAACATAATGGTTTTATTTTGAGTAATATACAACATATATATCTGAACGGGGAAAGATGAACAAGTAAAAAGCACTATTAATAGCCTGCCAGCTGAATCCAGGGCAGAGGATTTCAAGTGAGATGTGAGAGGAAAAAAAAAAAAAAAGAAAGAAAAAAAAGAAAAAGAACTTTCTCAATGAGGCTGTAATAAGAAAGGAGGTAAAAACATCTAAAATAAGTTATCTCCCTAGAAAGCCGCTTCATTAGCAACTTACTTCAGTTGGCCTGCTTAAATTAGGGATATTGGGAAGAATCAGCATTACAATGTTCATATTTGTTTCAAATAAATTCAAGGGCAATAGCATAACTGCAAGTAATGGCTTTATTTAAAGAGGGCCAGACACTCACCAATTCTACAGCATTACTATTCACTCTCCATGTCCGATCCCTCAGCAAAAGTTGATCAGTTCCTGAGGTAAAAGTATACTGTATATACTGATGTGATTTTGCTAGGGAGCGGATATTCAGAGTGAATACTGCAGAATTAGCGATTTTTTTCCCCTTCTTTGTTTTCCTCCACTCTGGGTCTCATCCTCCACTGATGTATTTTTCACAGATAATGTCACATTATGGCTATGGAAATGAAAGCAGTAATTGCTGTTTTCACCACAGAGACACCTAAGAAAAAGACTAATGCTTTTTTAAAATGTTCTTAATAAAAAATAAACATTCTTTGTAAAGAATTGTCTCAGTTCTTCAGTAAACTGTTGTTTGCTATTTCTCAGGCAGTGTGCGAAGTTCACCATTTAAACACATAACTACATAAACGATATTCATGACATGTTTAGAAAGAAGGTAGATGTTTCAGCATCTTGTCAGTATTAATAAAAAGGATGCTAAGCACTAGAAGCAGAAAGTGAATTAATGAAAACTAAAATAAAAATAATAGCACAAATTGCAGCTTCTAATAGATCAGATGTTTTTTGTATTTCAGTCTTCTGGCTCATATCTGCGGATAAAGAAAAGAAATAAAAATCAGAGCAGTAGAAAAACTAAGTTTGTTTCTAAAGAAAAAATAAACCCAAGTAAGGAATTTTTCTGGTATGTTCATGTCAACATTCACTATATGACTCAGGGTACAAACATATATATATAAAATATACGGTCTAATATATATAGACTATATACTACTCTAATATATGTAATCTAATATAAATAAAATATGCAATCTAAACTGTATATATACACACACACTATATATACACATATATATATTATATATATAATTTAGACTATTTTCTCCTTTTGCAGTTGGTAGTTTACAAAACAACAGAATGAGGGAATGAAGCCACAAATCCCAAAATACTGGCAGAAAAGCTTGAACAGTAGTTTGAATTTCCACTTCTGCTCTCTCATAGCATATCTCTAAGAAATCAGTGCTGCCAAAGATGACTTCCCATTTACAGAACAGTGGCCTTCTACCTAATATGAAGGCCAGGGAGTATCTCCATCACTCAGTACGAAATTAATCCTGCTTACGTACTGGGTACTGGGTTGTTTGCAAACAAATCTGTAAGAAATAAGATATATAAAATGCTAAAGCAGCAGGCACTTCTCCCTTCTGTTACTGAATTTCCTCTCAAGGTATCACATATTCTCATTATTTGACAGGCATTAGCTGCTTTGCACACGTCAGTCTTAGTCACCAAAAGGACCGGCCCATCAAAAGTCAGGACGGCATTAGCTGCTTTGCACACGTCAGTCACCAAAAGGACTGGCCCATCAAAAGTCAGGAAATAGCTTGGCAACAAATCTTTTTAAAGGAAATTTTAGAGTCTGATTTAGATTCAAATTATTATTAATTTTAGATTACAAATTTAGATACATGAATATAACAAAAGTGGAACACACATCTTAAAGAGAACAGCACCACATACTTGGAAAGCTTTTTGCGTAGATCCTTTATCTGCTCATTCTTCTTCATAAGAATCTCTTTCATGTTGCGGTAGGCAGCTGTTTGCTGAAACTTCTTCTCTAATTCCTGCACAGCAATAACACCAAGGCATTGCTTATAAACTAAAACTAGGGTAATATGCTTTTTAGAGACAACATTTTTCCTCCTTAGATTTCAGAACACCAGTTTTTCTAACTGTTCACTATTGAATTTTATCTGAAGTCAACTAAGAGATTAAAATGTTATTCAAGAGAAACAGATAGAAATATAAGCTTTATTTTCTAAAGAAAGTCAGGCCAAAAATCCTCTGAAGACTGGAAATACAGTTTGCATTCCCATAATGGACAATATTTAAGCATTCACCTAGTTATACTCACGCAGTGAGCTGTGTATTTGCTATTTTTCATATAGTCATGTTTTTTCCTCAAACCAAAATATGCTGGCACCAATGTGACCCTAGTAATCTTGTAGTCCTTGCTCTCTGGTACACGCTCCCTTAATTCCCAATCAGTTAAGAAGCGAGCATGAAGCCCATCTTTACGTTACAAAAAGAGCTGACCTTTTCAGCTGTGGATAGTTGATCTTGAACCTTAAGCAAGTCATGTTTTGTTGTGACCAAGTTTTCTTCCAATGATTTTTGATTTGCAGTAGAGTCATTCAGGGTCTTCTCAAACTGGCATTTCAAAGCTGCCACTTTATTTTCCAGTTCAGTTATATCCTGGTTTACATCAGCCTGCATAAGAAGAAACATTTCAAATAAGTCAAATGCAAAGAGGTATGTTTTAATCTTTATGACTTTTATGACAATATTCCTGTAAAGCTCAAACTAAAACTGCTTTAACTAACTAAACAAGGAAATTATACACATTACAAAATACTGAAAAATACCCTTGTAGCTTTAAAAATCATTATTTAACACATTTTAAATATGACTTCTTTTTTTAACCACAAAAGAAGGATGACATTTTGTTCCAATCTTTCAAAGTACAAACACTAAAATCCAGGATTTAATAAAGCCCTTTAATATTAAAAACTTGCATCTATTTATTAAGCTTTAAATTACTAATGGAAATATTTGCATGACTGATAAAATTCCTAAGTAGTAGTGTACTAAATACAGATTTTGAAAGTTACTGGATAAAATTAGAAAAGAAAGCCAAGTACATACCATAAATCCCCATTTAGAAAGCAAAATAAAAAGAAATCATCATTAAAACATGAAAATTGAAGTAGAAATAGTGAACCTTAAAGCTGCCTTCAAACATGTAAATACTGCAGGAATTAAAAATAATTAGTTTCTCAAAAGAATAGGATTATAGTGTTAAAAATTCATTCAAATTTTTAGGAAAAGTGGAAGACAAAAAAAATGAGAGAATTCGTATTATTAAAAAAAATAGGTACAAGCTTAAAGAAAAATACTAAAGTGACTGAACAGATTTTCCTACATCGATCTACAGGAGCACTATCTTTTATTTGTTTTTTTTGTAGTAACAAGTAATCATGTTTGAAGCCAATATTTACAGAAAAGATTAAGGACTTTGTGTAGTAAAAATACCTAGTGAACCAATTTTGGCAGTACATTGATAGGTAGAATTGATAGAATTATTTAAAATTAAAGTAAACATTCATCATCAGACCCATGCTCACTGATATTTGTGGCAAAACTGCAATTGATGTTTATGAATATACAGTTTGGAGCTATATGCATGCATTTTGTTTTTTAAAACCTAAATCAAGAAGCAAGTCTGGCTCTTAGATGTCTATATCAAGCAAGTGTGAAAAATGCTGGAATAAAAATAGTGTGTTTTATTTTTTGCTATAAAAAATGATTAGATGACACTGGTATATTAATAAAAAGAAAGAAAGAAACATAAATTTACATTTGTCAATATAAAATAAATACTGCCCTTTAAAACATGAACTCTAGAATAATACTTTCTGGTAGTGTCTTATCATGGTC